CAGTCCTCCCAAAGGGGGCGGAGTCTCTAACCGACCCCCAGTTGCAAGGCTCCCATCCACCCTTCCGAGCATATTTTTCCTATTATGCTATTCTCTCGCACCTTCCCCGCTTCCCGTAGCCGCCTCCACTGTCCTCACCGTCCCCATCCTCATCCATGGCGAAATCCTCGCCCCCAGCCTCGTGAAGATCCAGCACGTCCGCCATCTTGCCTTCGTACGAACTCTTGTCTGTACCGCTGAGACTAGGATCTCGGGAAAAACTGTCGCGGAGGGGAAAGGTCGCCGGTGAAATTGACCAATTAAAGGGTAAGTCTAAGTCCCGCCCTTGACGCAGTAAAAATACGTAGGTGAAGGCGGGCCTATTTAATGAAAGACGCCGGAAGTGCTGATGTAGTCATGTTGGGCAGGTAGCGAGTAGTTTGTGGTGGAGCTGGAAGGGATAAACTACGAAAGTGGGCGGAGTTAAAGGTTTTTGCTTAACTACGAGTGGCGGCTCGAAAGAAATACTGTCTGTGAAACCCGGCCTGATTTCCTTGTTAGACAGCTGGTTGTTAGATAACTTCACTTCACACTAGGACATGGAAATTAAGTAAAGATTTTTCTTTAATCTCAAACTTTTTAGGCCTTCTCGTACTGTGTTCCGAGCGGGCTACACCACCTACGATAGAAATATTTTTTTTTTTTTTAAAGTTTAGGTCTGCGAAAGTTTCATCCCTGGCACTGGGGGTGGGGGTTGCAGTCAGCACTGCTGGCTCATAAAAGCTGCTTCTGTAACCCACTGGAGCATCGAATTTCACATTTAAGGAAACTAACGGACCTAGTTTCCTTTAAAGTTCGATTGATGAGACAGATACAAACTTTAAAAAATAAATCTCAAATTTCTTACCACTGAGAACCGGGAGTGGTGGAATATGCCTTTTTAAAAAGTGGCTTTTGGTGCTTTGAGCATGGCACGGGTGTTTCAGGTATTTTTTTAAAAACCCTATGAAACCGGGTGTGGTGGCGCACGCCTGTAAATCCAGCACTCCTAATGCTGGGGCAAGAGGATTGTTAAAAATTGGACCCTAGCCTGGGATACAAAGTGATTTCAAGGCCAGCCTGACCTGCATAGCGAGACAATATCCCAAAAAGACAAAAATAAATAAAATAAATGTATGAGTTGAGTTGCCAGGCATGGCAGGACATGCCTGCAATCCCAGCACTGCCTGTAATACAGCAATTGGCAGGCTGAGGCAGGAAGATTAGCCATGAGTTCAGGGCTATCCTGGGCTACCGAGTGACTTTAATATCACTCTGGACTACATAGCAAGACCCTGTCTCAAAAAAACAAAACAAAAAAATACATCTATGAGTTGAACAACACCCATATTGTCCCCAAATTCTTCAATCATGGTGTAAACCTTCAACAATGGTGGACAGTGGGCTAATCAAATAGTTATGAGGCCTATGTGTGTCTAATAGAGGAACTGTAGGAAAGAAAATGATAAATGCATCAACACTCACAATGACAATACCATTATACTATAGAAATGATAATTTGATAATTGCTGCCATAAATTACAGTGGCAGTACCAAGAAAGTTTTTGGGACAGGGAGGACTTGGCATTTGAACTAGGTCTGAGGCTGAATAGTTTTTCAGACAAAGCAAGTATATTGAGACTAGGACATACTAATTCATTCTTCACCAAAGACGGTGTGATTTTTTTTTTTTTTTGTCTTTTTCCTTTTTATCAGTACTGGGGATCAAACTCATGACTGCCTGCTTGCAAGGCAGGCGCTTATGCCGTTGAGCTAAATCCCCAGCCCTGATGGTGTGATCTTACATCCTACTAAAATCTTTCCTGACTGGGTATGGTGGGGCAGACCTGTAATCCCAGCACTATGGTGCCTGAGACAGGAGGATTACCACAAATTCAAGGCCAGCCTGGGCTACAAATTGAGTTGTCTCAAAAATAAATAAATAAATAAATAAATAAATAAAATATATATAATATATCTAATAGTAACAAATGAAAATGCTTTTTATATTGCACTTGGAATAAATTAAATTCATGTAGCCTTCTCTGCCTGTGGCTCCAAGCCTCTTAAACTTACCATTCTCTCTCCCCTGGAAAGCCCTACACAGTCCCTTCATTCTGGTGTTAGCTCTTGCAGGGCTTTTGCGATTTTGAGGCTTTTTATCCAGCTGGCTCAGTCTCATCCTTTAAATCTTAATATTACCATCACCTGAAGGGGTCTTTACCATTCTCCTATCTTTTGCTGTGTATCTCCTTCACAAAAATTTAAATCAGAATCTTAATTAATTTACTTTTGAACTTGTTTATTGTCTGGTTTTCCTCCCTCCATTATAATGTAATCCTTACAGCAGAGATGATTTTTTACAACCATGTCCTCAGAGCCAAGAGCCAAGTTCACAGTAGACATTTGCTAAATACCTCTAAATGAATATTACAATGACTAGAAATGCTGTATGCCTGATGCTATGTGACTGAAAAATAAATCTGGAAATATAGTTTAGGGTCAAGTGGCCATGCTGAGTTCCTGAAATTTATCCTATATAAGCAAGACATTTGTCTACTTCAAATATTTTGATACTACAAACACTAATAATTTAAAAAACAAAATACTTCATATAAATATTCATGATTTTAATATCTGCAAATAGCCCCCTTATTAGATTTGCTTAATGTTGTTGACACTTTTTTTTTCTTTCTTTCTCTCTTCTCAGTACTGGGCACTGAACTCAGTTTGCACTGAGCTAAATCCCCAGACTTTTTTATGTATTATTCTGAGACAAGTTAAATCACTAAATTGCCCAGAGTGAGCTTGAATTTATGATCCTTCTGCCTCAGTCTCCCAGTGTGCTGGATTATATAAGTATGCACAACAATGCCTGGCTTAGACTGATTTTTAGACATAAATTTGCACTAAACAGAAAATTTAATACTACTACTATAAGTGGAAATCTGTATTTTTCTACCACAAATTCAGATGAAAGCATAACTATTAAAAAGTGATACCTATCACCTAAAATCACTTGCATTAACACTAATGGTTTACATATAAAGCTTTGAAAAATGCTGCTAAAGATAAAAATAACCCATGAAGGTTTAAGCAAGGGAATGACACAGTCATGATTTTTTTGTCTTTTTGAGACAGGGTCTCACTGTGCAGTTCAGGCTGGCCTTGAGCTCACTTTGTAGCCTAGGCTGGGCTCAAACTCACAATGATCCTCCCACCTCAGCCTCCCGAGTGCTAGGATTGCAGGTGTGAGCCACCACACCCGGCTCAGTCATGAATATTTTAAGAAGAAATAACATGGAGAATAATAAGAATGAATGCAAAAAGTAGTCTAGATGCTATTGTAGTGGTCCAGTCCATATATTAGGGAGAACTGAACAGAAGCAGTAAAAATAGACAAAACATATTGGGAAGCTTATATAAGAGGTGAGCTCAACAGTAAGTGACTGGATGAAAGTAGGGAAGAGTTGAAAATTAATCTAAAGTTTCTGGCTTAGATAGGCAGGGGATTGCAAAAACAGATTTAGGGAGTCACAGAGGAGTACAGAGAAATGGGTTTCATTTTGGTTTTGAGAATTCACAGTGCTTTTGTCACATTCACATGGTTAGTAATATCTAACATATGAAAAAATGCTAGAGGTGATAAAAACATATGGTGATTGTTTAGATTTATTTGGGGATTTTTTTTTTTTCTTTTGAGACTAAGTCTCACTAGGTACTTTGGGCTGGCCTTGAACTCATGGCAATCCTACTGCCTCAGCCTCCTGAATGCTGGGATTATAGGCATATGCCACCATGCCTAGCTAAGTTTTAAAAGTTTATTACAATAAAAGTCATATTGTCGTTAGTCCTCCTCAAAATACTTTTGTCTTTTTTAAAGCACACTTATCCCATCATCCGTACCACTTTTTAATCATTTTTTGAGAAAGTCTTACAGTGTAGTTCAGCTGATCTTTTTTTTTTTTTTTTTTTTTTTTTTTTTTAATCAAACTCACGACCTACGCTTGCCAGGCAGATGCTTGTGCTGCTGACCCCTGCTGTTGGACTGGTTTTGAATTCACTGAATAGCCCAGACTGGTCTTGAACTTGTGGTTATCCTCCTGCCTCAACCTCCTTAGTTCTGGGATTACAGGTGTGTGCTGCCATCCCTGGCCATCCTTGCCACTTTCTGAAGGAGTTCTGGTAATCTAATTTCATGAGTGTTTTTATGATCATGATCAAAATTATGGTGAATGCTGTTGCTCAGTGCTATCCAGAGACAAGCAGGCTTATAAAAACTGTGTTTACTGGATCTGGCACCATGAGGCTTTTGGTGCTACCCTAAAGTCAAAATGACTATGTAAGGTAAATGTTCGGAATTGATTCAGGACACTGAAGCAGTCAGGAAAGCAAAACTAATGATATATTTAAAAAAAAAAAAAAAGACTTCCAGGGCCGGAGATATAGCTCAGTGGCACAAGTGCCTTCCTGGCAAGTACAAGGTCTTGAGTTTGATTCCTGGTACCAAAAAAAAAGACTTTCAGAACTCCTTCAGAAAGTGGCAGGAATGATGGGACAGATGTGTTTAAAGGCAGAGAGAATGTTTTGAGGGAGGATTAATGATAGTATGTCTTTTCCTATAGTATTTTGTCCTATAGGTTTTTAAGATTCAAACATTCACTGTATTTTCTCATCATACTGTGTTGATGGAAGAGCTCAAAATAAGTTGGAAGAAGTAGGTTTGACAATTGTGTGTTTAAAGGAGATTAAGCCAGCACACTGGGGTTGAGTAGAGCCTGACAAGAAGGGCCAAGAACAAAATTCAAGCTCCTTAAATGTCTGGAGAAGGAGAGGCAGGCTGCCTTTCCCAAGCCACTTGCAAGATTATTTCTACTACCCATGAAATATAATAAAAAGTTCTCATTTAGTGTATGTGTTAATGAATAGGGCCATTTTAGAGCTCCTGTGATATACAGGTCTCAAGAAAGAGTCATTCTGGCTCACTAGACAAAAATCTATTTTTAATTTTACAAAATTATACATACAAAATACATAAAAAGTACTAAAAAGAGAAGTAAAATCATCAACACCAAAGCAGACAGATTAGGGAACATTTTTTTCTCAAGTTCTTTGGGAGCTTGAATATTTGAGGAAAATAATAAATCTTGGAGGTTCAAAGACAATTCTCTGCACAATCAACACTTCTTCCCAGAGGAAGAAGCAGAGGAGAAACTGGAAAGTGTATGATTTCTGGGTTATAAATATCAATTAATGAAAACAAATATATGCATCTATTATTTAATGTAGGATCCTCTACTCCAACCCTACCTGTATTCCACAGAATGCAAAGATGGGGTTGAGAGAATCAAGGGAGCTCCTTTTACCATCACTACAATCAGACGCCTGATCTCTGATCTCATATGTACTAGTCACCAGATGATTTCAAAAGCAAGAAAATTCCCTTTTATCTTGCTCCTATCTAATCCCAAACAGCAAATTATGGTCTCTTTCTTAATCTACTTCTAAACGTAAATAATGCAGTTATTAAATGTAAATTCATTGCAGGAACATTAAACTTTCCAAACTTTAGAAAGTGCACTGAACAATAATATAATATAAAGGAGATTACAGAACAAGGGGAAAATATACCTTACTACATGTAATTCTCCAAAAAGTTCTTCAAAGGAGAATTTTGTAGTTTTACTGCAGATAATTTCTCTCTTACTTCACCAAAGAGAAAGGTGGGGGAGGATATCCATATCAAAAACACAGATAGCAGATCATTGGTTCTCTTTCCCTTTCCTGCAGTCTCCCAAAGTTTCAGTGAGGAAGTTGCCTAATACCAAGGTCTTGTCTAGTTTTCCTAACTCATGCTCAAATAATGAATGTGGAGAAAAGGCAAAGAGACAAAACAGATGAGAATCTAAGATACATACATCTAAAGTAGTGAACAGCAACAGCTTAGTGGAAGTGAGAGGAACTTGGCCCTTACTTGCTATATAGAATAGCTATTACTTCCATACAGCAAAATTATGGGGAGGGGCAGGGGGCTTTTTATCACCTACCAAGCTCTATAGGCAGGAAGGTTTAAATATGAGACTTAATTAAGGTGAGAGTAGGGGAGAAGTAAAAAGGGAACACTGAAAAATAGCATTGAGCTTGATTCCTTACTATAGAGTACATCTAGAAATCTGGAATGCTAGAATGATATACACAAGCCCTAGTAACCCCCATGAATCATGTTTATCATTCTTCTCATGTTCCCAGGTGGTTTTTCAGGAACAATTTAAGAACTTCTTATAGTAACTCTACTATCTTCTGAGTAATAAGGTAAGAAAGCTTCAAAATAAAGGAGGATTTGGAAGCAAAGGAGTAATGAAGTAGAGAGGAAAGAAAGGATACCATACAGATTCAGCTCAAGATAAACCAAAGCCAAAGGCTTCCTACATGTACCCTGTTTGAATGCAAGAGAAAGCAAGAATGAGGTTCAGAGTGGGCCATACAGTCTTCATTCAGTCTACTTGTTCTTTTAAAAGAAGGAAGTAACATATGAACACTTGGTCAATCATACTGTGTTACTGAAATGACTAGAGACTACACCTGGAAGTGTAAGAGCCAACAATGCTCTAGAGACAGTTACTATTTCTTGTAAAGTGGGATGGAGATGTTTCAAGTGAAACTCATCCAAAAACTGGAAGTTAGAAAACGGACCTCTTAGCAACAGGAATCCAGAGATAGAAGTTATACATACATATATATTTTTTAAGTATAAAATTGAGAAATTATATACAGAAATCATCCTAAGTCTTAGAAAGGAGACATATAAAAAAGGTGTGCCAAGGATGGGGAATATAAGGGAAGGTGCCTAGCAGTTGGAGGAATGCATATTGCCCAACTGCCCAGCAGCCAGCATGAGAATATCTTTCTTCTCCTTGTGAAAGCGTAGCTCCTTGCCTGCCAGCCGAGCTTCATCCAGCTCCCGTTCAGTAGAGGCCAGCTCTCTAGACAGTGCCCCTGGCACACTCTGCTCCCGGCTCACCCAGTCCAAGGCCATTTGGTGGCGAATGTCATCATCCAGGGCCCGGTGTGAATAATGAGCCAACACCTCCTAGTTGGGGAGGGGAACATGAAGATCACTGAGAAGGTAAAGGTTCATGTCATACCACCTTGATCCAACTGGATGCAGGTGCTTGAAGCCTCAGACTCCTAACTGAAGCCAAAAGCTGTCTTCCAAGGAGATTCTTAAGGGAAATTCCCTGGTGGAGGAAGCAAGGCAGGCAAAAGTATCCCAATGAAAATTTAAATGAGATTAAAGGGATAGAGAGTTCCCTTTTGAAATTTTTTTCTTTTGAAACAGGGTCTTACTATGTAGTCCAGGCTGGCCTCGAACTCAGTGATTCTCCGCCCTCAGCCTCCCAAGTGCTGGGACCACAGGTGTGTGTCACAGCACCCAGCTCCTTTTCTTTCTTTCCTTTTTTCCAGCCCCTTGTAAATACTGAAATAAGGCTTTAAATATTTATAGCCAGGTAACCATATGCTTCCTTATTTCTAACAGCGACCTTGAAGTAGTCCTTTTATGCTATTCCCATAGCCCATAAGATCTCTTACCTGCCGAGAACACTGTCTTTCCCTCATGGCCTTAAGGCTGCCATTCCAGTGCAGCAGTTGAAAAACTGTCATTAGCTCCTAGGAGAAAAAGATATGAAGTGCCATGATAATGACTTTTATTAGGAGACTGTATCAGAATTATATGAAGGAGAATTTTTTATCTGCAATTTTGTATCTGCAAAAGCACCAACTCTAATATGCTCTTGGAGAAAGGAAGGTATTTAGATTTTGAAAAATATTCTAACCTTTATTCCTTTCCTTTTCGGTATAAGTGAGTTAGAAACTACTAGGCTGACCCATGTTATCAGAGCTAGGGGAGCAGGTGGAACAGTACCTGGAACTCCAACATCGACTTGCCCTTGTTAGATTCCAACATGAATCGGAAGGCACCAATCCCCGTATTTGGGTTGTCAGCTTCCTCCCTGTTGCCCTGGTAACAGAGGACCGGAAAAGAGAAATAGATTTTCAATCATCATTACCATCATGAGCAGCACTATCCAGTGGAAATATAATATGAGCTACAAAATTGTTTTCTCGTTGCCACTGTGTTTTTTTTCCTGACGCATTCTTTGTATCCACTGTGTAATAAAAATAAACAAGTAAAATTAATTTAAGAAACATACTTTCTCCCAGGTGTAGCTTTTGGAAAAAAAAAGAAAAAAGAAACATACTTTCACCAAATACATTCAGAATATTATTTTTCATCTGTAGTTGTGTAAACTTTTTTCCCCCAATACTGGGGATTGAATCCAGTGCCTCTCATTGAGAAACATCTCTAGCCCTATTTATTTATTTATTTAGTTAGTTAGTTTTTGAGACAGGTCACACTATGTAGTTCAGGCTGACCTTGAACTCATTATATGATCCAGGCTGGCCTCAAATTTGCAGTGATTCTCCTGCCTCAGCCTCCCAGTGATGGGATTACAGGTGTGCGCCACCATGCCTGGCCTCTTTTTTATTTTGGGGGGTCAGATTTTTTTTTTGTCTTTTTGAGACAGGGTCTTGCTATGAAGGCCTTGGACTCACTGTGTAGCCCAGGCTGGTCTTGACCCCACAGCAATCCTCCTGCTGCACTCAGCCTACCAAGAGCTGGGATTACAGGCACACTCCACCATGCCCGGCTCAAAGACAGAATCTTGCTAAGTCAGTAAGCTTGCCTCAGCTTCTCAGAGTGCTAGAATTCTGGGTGTGTGTCACTATGCCTCACTCTTATTTTTCCTGTTTCATGAAGGGAAAACACTAGGCACAAAGAAATACTCTGATTCACCCAAAATAAAAAATTGAGTTAGGTGTACAGGATCAGACTATTTTAGAGGACAAATGAACATTTGAAAGGGAAACAGCATGAGTGGGGAAATCTCCACTTGGGCCACCTGGACATTTGCCTAATATGTCTTCTATTGTTTTCATGACCTTGAAGGAGTGGAGTAAGACATAATGTCCAACCTACAAACCTAGAATGTGTCAAAACCGTATGATATAAAAGTTAGGAGCATGAACTGGTGCTCCTGTTAGTCATGTTGCCTTTGAGAATCATTTAACTTGCTTCTTAGTTTCCTCATCTGTAAAACAGGAATAATCACAGACTTCTATTTTTTTTTTTAACTTTTTAAGGATACCGGGGATCGAACTCACGACCACCTGCTTGCAAGGCAGGTGCTTATGCCACTGAGCTAAATCCCCAGCCCCATCACAGACTTACTTTATAAGGCTGTTTTAAGAATTAAGAACATTTCTAAATTAAGAAAAAAATTAGTGAGATACATGAGATACATGTGGTCTACAAATCAATCATATAAATATAGATGCTCTGCTTTACTGGACCTGGTATCCAATTACACAATTCAAATTTATTCTGGGACTGGTGAGGGTTTGGTGACATTTGGTAGTGTTTTTCTCTCTGGCTTACTTATTGGGAGTAATTCCAGACCGTGTAGCTGGTTAGAGCTTATAAAATAGAACTCCTGGTCTACTGGTGACCCTTTTGTCAACCTGATCTAAATAGGCCAAGAAGCTCCTGGGAACAGAAGGACCCAACTTTCTCAGAAGTTCCTGCTCTTTCTAGCCAGTTCCATACATTTCAGAATGCCAAGATAGGAACTTTACCCTGCATTCTTTGAAAATGATACTAGGGTTTAGGAGCCAATCAGGTTATATCCACATTCAGGGTTTTTTGAGGGGGCAGGTACTGGGAATCAAACTCACAATCTCATGCTTACCAGGCAAGTGCTTGAGCCACTGAGCTAAAACCCCAGGCCCTACGCTCAGTTTTCTTATAGAGCACTTTTCATGGGGTTTTCTTGTATATGTATCACATTTAAAATAATGCCAAGTACTTTGTAAGTACAACACAAATGTTAGCTTGGTATTATTCTTTATTGTTACTGTTCTAGAATCAACAGGTAAAACTGCTAAAGATCAACCCAAATTATTTGTGGCTCATGAGAAATAATCATGGAACACAAGTAATTAATCTTTGTGGTAAAGTCACAAGACTTGGATTTAGATGGGAAAGCTGGAGAAGCTGTTTTATATGGTTTTCTTTGAAACAGGATCTCACTATGTATTTCAGGCTGGTCTTGAACTTACTCTGTAGAGCACCCTGGTCTCAAACTAGTGGTGATCCTCTTGTCTCAGCTTGCCAAGTGCTGGGAGTACAGGCACATGCCAAAACACCCAGCAGCTGGAGGGGCTTTAAATGAAAGGAATGAAGAAAAGTAATCTCAAAATTAGGTTTTAGGGATCTAAGGAAAGAACTTTTTCATTTTTGACAATAATTCTTCAACATAACCTACTTAGTGTGTGTCCCAAATGTTTCTATGATATGACACATATAAAATAATGATCATGACTGGGGATTTAGCTCAGTGGCATAAGCGCCTGTCTGGCAAGTGTGAGGTCATGAGTTCGATCCCCGGCACCAAAAAAAAAAAAAAAAAAAAAAAAAAAAATCATTATCTGTACAGCCAACTGGGATATACAAAGGAGGCTGCTGGCAAGCAGAGTGATTTCAGGCACAGAAGGCCAGCTGCTGCAGGTCTTTCCCAGCCTCTTGAAGTTGGGGGCGTTCAGTATCATCACATACCTATAACCTACTTACACAGAGTGGCACAATCTATCAGTAAGGAAGTTCTGCATCATATCACACTTACAACTATAATGGTTAAATTAATTCCATTTATTCAACAATCACTCATACAAAACTGGATAAGTAAAAGGGTTGTTAGAATAAATGGAAAGAAATCAAGATAATTTAATGCAGCCAACTTATTCTACAAATGAGAAAACTCAGACTCACTGAAGCTGGGTGATTTGTCAAATGACACAGTACAATTTAACCTCATTTTCAGTACCTTTAAAAACAAAAAGTAAGTAATGTGGGCTTTTCTCTTTATCCACGGCTATGACTCAATGAAAACTGTTCTTCTGGTGAGTGGGGATTCCACTGAGAAACTAAGGAGAAATCCATTAAATTCTCAAATCAGGAGGGTTAAACAAAGAGGATCACTGTAATTCAATACAAAGAGGATCACTGTACTTCAAATATCCATCTCTCATCTACCTCAGTGGAGAATGACTTCATTGCAGCTTGTGAATCCTAATTCCCTTTGCCACTGTTTAAAATGGGAATTTTGTTTCTGTTGTTTTGTTGTATGGTGCTGGAGACTGAACCCAAGGCGTGCTAGTTGAGCATTCCACTACTGAGCTACATCATTTCCCCTCCCCCAACTTTTTTGGAGTACAGAATTGAGTCCAATGCCTTTGCACTCAGCTACCTCCCAAACCCTTTTAAAATTATTATTAGTCTGAGAGAGGGTCTTCCTAAGTTGCCTATACTGAGTCTAAAATTGTGATACTTTTGCCTCAGTCTCCTGAGTGGCTGGAACAGGCATGTATGGCTGCCTGATTTAAAGTAGGAATTCTAGCAATGGGAACTTAAAGGAAGATCTTATGGGAGGACTTTTGGGGAAGGATTCCTTACTAATAAGAGAAGATAGGGGCTGGGGATTTAGCTCAGTGGCATAAACACCTGCCTTGCAAACAGGCGGTCCTGAGTTCCATTCCCGGTACTGATAAAAAAAAAAAATGAAAAAGACAAAAAAAAAAAAAAAAAAAAAAAAAGAGAGAGAAGATAGAAGATGGTCTCTTTCCAGTATTCAATGTCTAAAATTCTATGGCCACCTTGCACTCTGAAGGGAGCCAATGCAAAGACAAATCTAGGAGACAGCTGAATGGAGAGAAAGAAATATTCTGGACAACATTCTTTTTCTGTTTCTCTGTCTGTCTGTCTGTCTCCCTTTCTCCCTTTCTTCCTCTCCCTCTCTCCCTTGCTTTCCTTCTCTTCGATCCTCGCTTGTTTGTAATGAGGTCCTGCTATATTGTCGAGGCTGCCCTGGAACTCCTGGGCTCAAGTAATCGTCCAGCTTCAGCCTCTCAGATATTTGGGACTACAGATGCATATCACTGGGCCCAGCTTTAGATGATGACATTCTAATCTAGGCAATCAACTAGCCCTGAAAGCTTACCTACTTCTGCACTGACTGTAATGTTAGATAATGAATGCCCTTTCTTTATATAATTAAGTCAACTTGAAGTGAGATTTTTCTGTTACTGCATCCACAGGCATCTAAAGAGATAATATGTGCTATGTGCTTAAATATCTCTTTTATCTGGTAACTCCATGTAATATAATTTTTAGCTTATGTTGCAGATGAGGAAACTGACACTTACTTGTACCAACTGTGTAAACTGGTAGAAGTGTAATTTCAGTAATAAAGAAATTCAGAGCCCATACTCATTACTACTGCTTTCTATAACCAAAACTAATATTCAATTTATATCATTAGGTGACTTAACAATGGCAAATGTACTTCCTGATTTTAATCGAACTCACTAAAAATTTTATTCCCTGGGGCTGGGGATTTAGCTCAGCGGCATAAACATCTGCCTTGCAAGCAGGCGGTTGTGAGTTTGATCCCTGGTACCGGTAATAAAAAAAAAAATTATTCCCTAAGGATACTGTTGATGAAGGAAAAGAAAGATGGGAGAAAAACAGTTAGGTTCTCAGTAACAGGAGAAGCCAACTTATGATTTAAAATGTTCAACAATTAACCCATGAAGCAGATGAATAAAGCAAGTTAGTATATGTAATTACATCTTAACTAAAGGCACAGAAACAGAAAAAGAAAACTTGTCTGACTTTATTACCTTATCAATGAATTTGTGGGGTAGGAGGAGGAAGACAGTGTTAATTTCTAAGATGCACCTCTCAGCTAAATGTGCTTATGTCCTCATCTTGGCTCTACCACTTTACTTGCCCTATCACATTACACAAAACTTCAGTTCTGTGATTAGTCTCCTCATCTGTAAAACAGGGATAAAATAATACTTAACACCTATTGGGTTGTTATGATGATCAAAGGAGATCAAATACAGGTAAATAACTTAAAGTAGTGCCTGTTAGTCATCATCATCATCATCATGATTTGAAAAAGCAGATTTCTTTTCAATGAAAGTAAATAAATGACCCTGCCCATTACTAAAAGCCAAAATAGACAAGACACTATAATAGAAGGGCTTTCTACTAATAAGATGAGGTAATGGAGGCAAGAGACACGTAGCAATAAAAACAGTCATTTTAAAAGATAAAAGCTCTTGCCAGGCTCAGTGGTGCACACCTGGTGCACACCTGAGGCAGAAGGATCCCAAGTTTGAATACAGCCTAAGCAACTTAGTGACTTACGAGACCCTGTCTCAAAACAAAAAAAGGTAAAAAGAGCTAGGGATGTAGCTCAGTGGAAAAATGCCTCTGGGATTAATCTCCAGTACTGCAAAAAAGAAACAACATCAATCAATCAATCAAACAAATGAACACAAACACACTCCAAAAAAACCCAACAACCCAGCTCTCACAAGCTCCCTCTCTCTTACCATGTGATTCACTGAGCCATCTCACTAGCAAGAAAGATATCAGATATGGGCCCCTTAATCTTGGACTGTAATCATGAGTCAATAAATCTCTTTTCTTTATAGCATTTAAAATATATCTGTATCTATGCCTATATCTACATATTCAGCAACATAGAATGAAATCATATCATTTGCAGGAAAATTGATGGAATGTGAGAGCACAATGTTAAATGAAATAAATCAGACACAGAAAGTTAAATATCATATCTGAGTTTGATGGTACATGCCTGCATTACCAGCACTTTGAGAGGTTGAGGCAGGCTGATCACAAGTTTGAGCACAGCCTAGGCAATTTGGCACCTTAGTGAGACCCTATCTCAAAAAGGAAGATAGGGTGGGAAAAAAGCCCTGGTTTAACCCCCTGTACTGCAAAAATAAAAACTTAAATTTAAAAGTAATTAATAAAACTTTAAAAGAACACTAAGGGACTAAGATTTTAAACCATAATTATCAAAAGCAAAATTGAAGCTCAATAACTTGAATTTTTGAATAGTTCTAAAATTCCATACATTTGAATTAAAGGTTTTTAGACACCAAAGATACACAAAAAACATGCAAAATCTAGCTACAGAATTAGAGACTGAAAGAATTATAGTACGAAAGACTTGAAACGTGGCACACATAACACAGAAAACCGACAGAATAAACAGAACAGAGCTTTAGACAGGACAGGAAGCAAGAACTCATGCCCTCGGCCAGTCCTCCCATCCTTCACCCTCCTTTCAACTCCAAGTTACTCACATTGAACGATGCCAGGGCCTCGGAGACGCTCTTCTCGATGAACTCGTCAGTGATTCTTCGGGAAGGGTGTTCGTTGAACACAGAGTTCATCAGTGCAATCTTTGCTGCACTCCTCCGGGCCTCAGCTTTTGTGGGGCAGAACTAGAGAGGGAAGACAGTGAGAGTCTGTGTAGATGTGTGTTTGAGAGAGAGAGGCCGTAACAGTAGAAAGGAAACGCTTGCGATAGAAGGCATTTGGACACTTTTTGGAGAGAGTTATGTTCAACACATTTTGAAAAGTTTTTGTTGTAAAATGGTTGGGGTTTTTGGAAACACAGTCTTGATTCAACATCCTGAAGTCATTAAGGAACTGGAGACAGCTACAGCTCATACACCAAATTGAATACAGAATGAGGAAGGCTGCTGAAGTCAGCACATAACCACTGGACATGAAAAATACCTCTGTTTAAACTGTCAACAGAATTAATTACTCAAAAGCCAGATTCTGGCCAGCTTGCTGGAAATCTGTATCTTGTTCTCTTGTTCTGCAGATAGGCAAGGTTTTCTTTGGATTCCTCTAGATAACCCAAGACTGAAACAAAACTGTGTTTAGGCAACTTCTGCAGAGGAGGCTTCTGGTCTCCATCAGAGGCACCCTCTGGATCTTAGTCTTTACTTTTAGCTGTGAACAGCAATTTCCCCAATAATACAGTGACCCAAAGCAGCTCTGCCTGAACAGAGTCTAAATCTGAAGAAGAAATTTATAGTCTTCTTTGCCCCCTTCAGTAGAAGCAAGGAGAAGAGGGGGCAAAGCAAGGAAAAGCAAGACAAAATTAAAATATAATTCATGTTTTTACTCTGTATCAAACATAGATGTCATAGAACAAGTTTGATTTTCAGAAGACCTTAAATCATTCAATTTAAAATCTCTGGCCACCAAGAATTCCTTTATAATTCCTCATCAATGACTGTTCTTTGTCAATTATGATTGTCACTAGAGAAAAGAAAGAAACTCATAATGTAATTTTTAAAAAGTACAGGATTATGTTATACTACTTAATCATCCTCACTATTATTTTAGCTTACAGTTCTCTCAGAGACAGTACTTGGAGCTTGATATTTTCTTTTCTTTTCTTTCTTTCTTTCTTTCTTTCTTTCTTTCTTTCTTTCTTTCTTTTGAGCTTGACATATTAACCTTAGGTCCTTTTGTTTGTTTCTTTTCCTTGTCTTTTCTTTCTTTCTTTTCTTTTTTTTTTTTTCTTGTTTTTAAACAGGGTTTCACTATGCAGTTCAGGCTGGCCTTGGGCTCACTTTGTAGCCCAGGCTGGTCTCAAACTTGCAAAAGATTCTCCCGCCTTAGCCTCCCAAGTGCTGGGATTACAGTAGTATATCACCACACTGGCTTCTTTTCTTTTTTGAGACAGGATCTTGCTATGTAGCTCATGCTGACCCTGAACTCACTATGTAGCCCAGGTTGGCTTTGAACTCACAGTGTCACTATGTTGCCCAGGTTGGCTTTGAACTCACAGTGATCCTCCTGCCTCAGCTTCTCACATCCTGGGATTACAGACATGTGCCACCACACTTGGCACTTTTGCTTCTTCAATTTCTCTGTTTCTGCTTCTCTATTACTAGCATGCTGCCTACTTTATTGTGCTGTTTCTGAAAAAATCATTTGTGAGGAAAACCACAATGAAAAATTCACTTGCTAAAGTGGATATAAGATATATAAATTGGACGAGGCCAAGATAGATAAATCTACTCTTTCAGAAAGTAAAAGAAATCACATGACGATAATGGGCCAATTATGGGCACCATTATACAATTATCAGATCATTGGGGCTGGGGATTTAGCTCAGCGGCATAAGCGCCTGCCTTGCAAGCAGGCAGTTGTGAGTTCGATCCCTGGTACCGATAAAAAGGAAAAAGACAAAAAAAAAAATTATCAGATCATTATTGAACACTGTCATGATGTGGGAAAAAGAAGGAAAGATTTTATTTTCTAATAAGAGAAGTCATAAGCATTAGTCATCCAGGGCATATATTTATTTCTCTGAAATGGTAGAGGTTCTGAGGAAAATCTTTAAGTCACCAGATGTGAAATGAAACATCCTCAGACTGTTTCCCTTTGAAGCAGGAGCTGAACTTCAGTGGCTCTCATTCATGCAACAGACATACTAAGTGCTTACTTATGTACTGGGCTCCGAACTGGGTGGTAGAGATTTAACACTAAACAAGAAAGTAGACTTCTCACATGTCTGTCTCAGCTCAAATCTCAGCACTTAAAAAAACAGATATGATCTCTACTTGTATACAGCCTAGTCCATTGGAGAGACAAACAATTATGATAAGTATAATAAGCAATGTGATAAAGATTCAAGGTACAGTACTAAAGAAGCACAAAGCAAGGAGGTCTAATCTTATCTAAGAGTTACACAAACCATATGAAAATCTAAACACATGTATCTATTGTCTTCTTGAAATTCTCATTCAGATTCTTAAGTTCACATTTCAGAAGGATGATTTCTTTTCTACAATGTAAAAAATATTTTATTATTATATTTACACTAGTGCACAGTAATTTTCCACTTCCCCATAATCCTTATCATCATGGGTCTTTCATAGAATTGTAGAATATTAGTAATAGAAGAGACTGAGAAACAGCATAGCCTAGAGCTGAGCACGTTGTTCAGTGGTAGAGCGCTTGTCTACTTTTTGCAAGGCCCTGGGTTTGATCCCAGCACTGCAAAAACAAACATAAAAAGAATGTAATCTGTATTTTTCATATTACAGATCATACTGTTTCCACTATATATAGCTTCTCCCTTTTGTTCTCTTGGAGAATTCAAACATTGCTTTCTTATTTATTTATATATTTATTTTTGGTACCAGAAATCAAACTCAAGACCTTGCCTTACCAGGCAGGCACTTACACCACTAAACTATATCCCTGGCCCAAACATTGCTTTCCTTATTAATTCCCTATGAAACAATATTGGGGGACATGAGATATTGCTTGTAGGCCCTCAAGAAGAGATAGCAGCCGGCGATTTAGGTCAGCGGTATAAATGCCTGCCTGGCAAGCATGAAGTCATAAGTTCAATCCCCAGTTCCCAAAAAAAAAGAGCGAGCAAGAGAGAGAGACACAGATAGAAGACAGCTGAAATGCAAGGATGGAAGCCAGACCAGAACAAGGCAGTCTGAAATACTAAGCAAGTACATACTGCCTACTAGTAGTCTAATATATTAAGCAAAGGTATATTCATAACTTCTAAAATTCAAAATGGGTTTGAGTTTTGACAGACTGAAAGAAAAACACACTACTGAAGTTCTTTCATGATCTAATGAGCCTCAGATGCTTGCCGGAATGATTTTCCCAGAATTGCTTTAGGTCCTTAGACTATGTGATTTCAGCAGGGAGTTAATGACCAAAGCAACAGAAAAAGTCCTTTTTAGTACCTAGGCTTTTATGTTTATGACTGCTGCCTCACAACTCTTACCTGAAAACTCCCAAAGCAACTTCCCCCAGGCAAGGTGACATAGCAGACATAGGGAGGGCTGTTGGAAGGAACCATCTCATAAACCACCAGAGCCCCATTCTTCAAGTCGGCCCCACGAGACTGCTTCATCTGCCAGAATTCCTGCAGTGCCTCCACCACATTCACTAAAAGAAGAGAAGTAGTTAAGCTCAGCAAAGAGAATACCTGCAAGTGGCACTGTATTTCAGTGTGGTACCAGCCTACACTAAGAGTCCCTTAACTTCTTATCTGTCACTATTTAACAACATTTAAATTAATAAACCCAGACTGACCTCAAGTTAATTGTGAAGGCAGACCAAAGTATGCATACCCTCCTCTGCAGTTACTAGTTTACACTTTGATTAGTCCTAGACACCAAAGGAAAATAACTTAAATACTGGTGGCACAGTTTCCAAGGTCAGCAGATCGTATCACTACCTAATGAAGCATATTGTTCCTCAGTTAATCAGCTGACCTAGGACAATAATATGTCATGATAAGTGCTAACATTTATTGAATATATGTACTGAATTATATGTAGTATTTTACCCATTTGAAAATAAACTTCATAGGCTGGGGATTTAGCTCAGTGGTATAAGCGCCTGTCTGGCAGGTATGAGGTTGTGAGTCCGATCCCTGGTACCAAACAAAAAATAAATAAATAAATTTGGTGGAATATAGTGGTACACGCCTATAAATGCCAGCACTCAGGAAGCTTAGGCAGGAGGATTAAGTTGCCACAAGTTCAAGGCTTGGCTAGGCTACATAGTTCAGCCTGAACTACATACTAAGACCCTGTCTCAAAAAAAAAGTAAAGAAAAAAGAAATTTATAATGCAGGTACTTTTGTTATCCCATTTTATAGACGAAGGAAATGAGATCAAGAGGGGTTAAATAATTTGTCCATGACTATAGCAGCTAGAAAGTAGGATAAATATCAAACTCAGGCAGTCTTAGTTCCATGGCCAGCAATCTTAAACCAGGACTGTTACAAAAAGAAACCTTGACAGATGAGATGATACTTCCCTCTGGGACAAAGAACAAGCCTGCTTACCGCTTCTTATAAAGTGGCAGATTCCTTAAGCTCAGTGTTTCTCTCTTATGATGTAACACTGTGCAAGCAACCTCCTGACCCTCTGCATCAGACTTGAGGGGTAAGGGGAACATATAATGCTTATGTTATTTGCTATGCTATGAGCATCACATGTTCTTTTATCTCTACCCACATCTCTTGACTTATACTAGCATCTATCAAATAGTAACTGGCTAACAGTGGTTTGACACATATGGAAGAGAGGGAAGGCAGGAGACTTAGAGAAAAGTCTCAGGCTGTAGTAGAGTTCTAAAATGGTTTGGTCAAACCAGTGGGAAGTCCTGATTAAAAGGAATCCCACATGTCACCAGGATGTGCATGCCTTGATATTGTACTTAGTCACTGGCTTGTGGCAACATACACCAAGTGTGACCTCAGTACATATGCGTGATGAATCTAGAAGGAACAGTAGGTGGGGTTCAGTTATGCTCCCCAAAGCAAGAAATCTGATCAGTGCATTTTCATTACGCCAAAACTTGAGCACTTACTAAATCTAGACCTCTATTCTAGTCATCAGAGATGCAAAGAATAACACACAGTCCCTGTCAGCAAGATGTTCAAAATCTAGTGACCAACAAGTTATCTCATCTGCTCTGTAACTAAAACACAGACCTCATGTATCGGCCAGAATTTGAAAAGCAACATAAGCTCTTTTCTAATGCCCTATATTTAACTGCCTTTTTAGAATGTTCATTATTGTACTGAAAGACAGCATGAAAAGGAAACACTCTTTCCCACCCTTGGTTTTGGCAAGGGTTCTTTAAAGGTCACTGCTGCCCAGAAAGCTTAGCCATCTCTGTTCTTTCCATTGAGATCTTTTCAGCCCCATTTTCCTCTGTGAGACAATTTGGCACAATGCACTGGGTGACAGCTCTCCTGACATGCAAACAACAGGGAGAATAGCGAAATACAGGAGAAGGGGAGGACAGCACCATAACTGGGTCCTATTAAAAAGCATATGTTGGGGCTGGGGATTTAGCTCAGCAGCATAAGTACCTGCCTTGCAAGCAGGCGGTTGTGAGTTCAATCCCCAGTACTGATAAAAAGAAAAAAAAAGGAAAAAAAAAAAGCATATGTCTAATCCACATCCAGTTAAATGCCTCTGGGCACAGCACACAGCATTTTTTTTTAATGATTAGTAAAGCCAAAGAAAATGGGGGGGTCTTATTTCAGAAATTTGATTATGAAATGAGAAACCAGGTCAAAAGAAAATCAATTAATTGTGATCTGCATTGTAAAATGGTGATAAAGGAATTTTTATTGCTGGAGGGAACTTTAGATATCATCTAGTTCAGCTTATACTAAGGAAGAGGCGATGACTTGCTTGAGGTCACACAGCCATGACAGACTTAGGGGATCACTCTGGATATCCCGAAGTCAATGTTCTTTCAAATCCAGAAATCTTAATTCAGAGCCCAACATCTCATCCATAGTAGGGCTTCATGAGGATTAATAACCTGCCTCCAAACTGTTAAGTAAAATTATATGTATATATAAGGGTATAGGTACCCACAGTTTTTAAAAACAGATTTTTAGAAAGAAACTATGGGCATAGTGATTCACATAAAGATAATTAAAGACTACTGAGGTAGAAGACATACACATTTGACAGATAGAATTGCTTTCCGGAAGTCACTGACAGATGCTGGGCTGAAAGAGACAAAAAAGTGCTGGTACGATGATAATGAGTAGCAACACAAAAGAGAAAACTTTGGTCTTTACTTTTACTGTTAGATGAATATCTTAGTGGAATGAGAGGTACAAATCATTTATCTAACAGAAATGTTACATATGTTAAAGATAACATGAAGGCTATGAGTGTATCTTCTTAGTGGTAACCATATATTTATCATGCTTTAAGCCCTGGTCCAACTCCCAGCACCAAAAAACAAAAACCAACAAATGAAACTGCAGAAAAATTGTATCATAAGAATAAAGAAAGAACCAGATGTGGTGACACATGCTTGTAATCCCAACACTTGGGAGGCTGAGCAGGAGAATCGACATGAATATAAGGCCAGCCTGTGCTACACAGTGACTTCAAGGCCAGACTGAATTACATAGAGACTATATCTAAAAAGAGAGAGAGAAATAAAAAGAAAGAAATTGAAGGATAAGTAGAAAGGTTTTCTTTGATTATAGAGAATATATTTGTTAGAACAGGCTGAACTAGTTTAATTAAAGTTATTATGGAAAATAGGGGAATTGGTTAATTGAAATATCAGGTTTTACCTGATATTTCAGTTTCTTGAAGGCACCCATGAAGAGCCTACAGTGCACATTCTCTTCAGAAGAGGAGGAGTAAAGTAACAGTACCTTTGGTAGAGGACTATGGTAAGCCAAAGAATGACCCCTGCCTAGATATCCATACCTAATCCTTGGAATTTGTTAATGTTACCTGATTTGACAAAGACTTTGCAGTTGTGTTTAAATTAAGGAATCTGAGATGGGGCGATTATCCTAGGTTATCCATATGGGAGGGAGATCAGCTTTGATAAAACACAGAGGAAGAGAAGGCATGAAAGCAAAGACCTCTACCACACAAGCAGAGAGTAGAGAGATGCTGTCACAAGCCAAGGAACGCAAGCAGCAAGAAACTATTCTCTCCTAGAGTTTCTGGAGGGAGCCCCAGCTTGCAAATATCTTGATTTTTAGCCCAGCATATTTCTGGCCTTTCAGATTTCTGGCCTTTAGAACCATGGGAAGATAAATTTCTGTTGGTTTAAGAGGTCAAGTTTATGGTAATTTGTTACAGAAGCCATAGGAAACTAATATGAGAATTACACCAACATTTCTAAAAATTGGAAAATTCAGATTAATCAGATTAATTCCAGTCACTTAAGCACTTAAGCACTCTGCCTGTGCTTCTGAGGAAAAGGAATTACTAAACAGAAAATATTATGCAAGATTCATTTATTCAAACTAGTGGAGTAGCTGGGCAGAGCCTCCAATCACATAGCCACATTGTAATATAAAAGGAGAATAAACACTGAAAAAAGGTTTGAAGAATGAAATGTTATCAGGTATAAAGCAAGGAAAGAGCCTTGCTCAGTCATGCCAGTTTAGGGATTGTCAGATGTCAAACATGAGAAGGCACTGTTTGCCATGTAGGAAAAAGGGGCAAAGGAAATGACAATGGCCTCGCGTGGTGGCACACACTTGGAATCCCAGCACTCCAGAGACTGAGGCAGGATAGTGGCGAGTTCAAGACCAGTCTGGGCTACAAGGTGAGCTCAAGGCCAGCCTGAACTGCATAGTGAGACTCTGTCTCTAAGAAAAAAAATGGCAATTATTAACAGTATCGGGGCTGGGGATTTAGCTCAGCAGCATAAGCGCCTGCCTTGCAAGCAGGCAGTCGTGAGTTCGATCCCTGGTACTGATAAAAACGAAAAAGACCAAAAAAAAAAAAAAAAAAAACCCAAAAACAAACCAGTATCTATTACATGTATGTTTTCAAAGCACCACTGTTATGGTTTATTTCTAGATGTTCCCCAAAACCTCATACAGTCATGGGGGTGGGCTTCTAGAGTCTGTGATTGATTCATGGTCCAATGCTGGGATTACTGATGTGAGTACTACACCTACCCTGGGGCAAGTAGCCTGCCTATAATATAAGGGAGGGTAAGAGGCTTGCTCTCTCTCCTGCCTTTTTGCTCTTGTTGCTTTTGCTGTTTTCTACTGCCATGAACTGTTGCCCTTTGCCATGACAGCTGAATATGGAGCCAGCTGAATATGGACTGAAACTTCCACAAACTGAGCTAAATAAATGCTTTCTTCCTTAATTTTGGATGGTGGGTATTTTGCCTCAGCAACAAAAGAAAAGTAAGACAACTACCAAACGTATAATAACAACCACTTATTGAACACTATGTGCTGTGTGTTTTAAACTCATTATCTTACTTAATAAGCACATTACTATCAAGATAGGTATTATAATATCCATTTTATAAAACATAAACAGTTGAGGAACAAGCCAGAAGTGGAAGAACCAGGATTTAGAAACAATATTCATTTGGATCCAAAGCCAAGCCTCTTTCTACTGTACTATTATTCTACTTTGTTGCACCACTAACCCTCACTCATGATGTGTGAGACAGACTGGGCCCTATCAAGACAGGGGCTAAATATCTACCTTGTTTACCACTGTAGCTGGCATTCAATAAGTATTTGGTAAATTAATAAATGAAGCATATGAAGCACAGGCAGTTTAATTTCTCCAACATCACACACCCATTCTCACCAGCCTGCTGGTTACAAACTCTATACAGTACAAATTCATTATGATTCAAAGGCATACTGAGCTATATGTCTCTTGAGCAGTGGGGATAGAGAGAAAAAAAGCAAACAGGTGAAATACTAGAAGTGGTTATGTTGTTTTGTTTTGTCTTTTGGTGTCCATCGCAAGTGATAGTAAATTTAAAGACTGTACTGGAAAAGGTAAATTTAGAGTAGTTGGGAAGAAGATGAAGAACATAAAGCAAAGATTATGTGTAACGTAAAGCATTGCCTTATCAGGCAATGATCTGGACAGAGACCAAAGTAAATTATATTCAGGGGAAAAGAGCCATCCCCCAAACACCATGCCATCAGTCATGAGTATATGGGTACATGCCAACAGCAGCTTTGCCTATTAATTGAAGCAGAATAAATGGTTCCATGTGGTGAAGAACTTCTGAGCCAAATCAGCAGAGAGTCTGCTTGCCTGAAGCTGGACTATCTGCCAAAGTCTCTTAAAAGTACTGGCTGGACACCCAGACTGGAAATGAGAAACTCAAGAATAATGAGGACTATGATGGGAGGTGGGGAGGTGTAGGAAAGAAACAGCATCTAAAGCCGGACTGACTGCTCTTCGTCAGCACAATCCTTTTTTTCCTTCACCTTTCTAAGAAAATTTAAGTTTTTCCAAAGTACTCAGTTGAGAAGCCAAACCAGAGGCTCTCCAGCTTAACACAGACAATAAAAAGAGAATTTGTTTATAACTTTACTAAATGCCTATAAGCTTCCAAGAGGAAGAATTCAGATTTAGGGTTAGCCACTACTATGCCCAGCAGCAAAGACTTTCCCTTGGTCTTGATTTAAGGATGCCTGAGGCCCATAGGCTGTCCATCAATAGCCTTTTAAATCTTTGAATTAAACTGACAAATAACTATTCAGGATGAATTGCAAAATCATATCCATTTGTATTCTTGGCTTCCTGAAAAATGCCTCTAGGAGTTTAAACTGAAGAATAAAGGAAAAAATATGCTTTGTGTTATATACCTATAATCAAGCACTCTAACACTCTGGGAAGCTTCCAACCCAGCCTAGGTAATTTAGTGACTTAGCAAGTCTCTGCCAAAGAGAGAGAGAGAGAGAGAGAGAGAGAGAGAGAGAGAGAGAGAGAGAGAGAGAGAGAGAGAGAAAGAAAACTAATTATTGTAAATTAATTGGTAAGTACACATGGTAAAATGGATCTATAAATTTGTTTTTATTGGAATCTTTGGATTTTTACCATCAGAATTTAAGAGAGGAGAACATGAGACATGTCCTTTTTAGGGAAGTATGAACCAACAAAAGTGAGATTATAATAATCATTGAAAAGTACTAATTATAGCACACAACCTGTAATCCCAGCACCCAGGCAGCTGAGGCGGGAAGATTGCTGTGAGTTCAAGTCCAGCCTGGGCTACAAAGTGAGTTCAAGGCCAGCCTGAACTACATAGTGAAATCCTGTCTCAAAAAAGACAAAAGTAAATAAATAAATAATAAAAGTACTAATTATATGTCAACTACAGTATCTCAGTTAATCCATATAACCCTTGAGGAAACTGAAGCTCAGTGAGACTGAGTCCCTTTCTGAAAGACAGACTGGGCATGTGACTGAGATCTCTAAAGATTTCTCATTACACTTTCTCAAAAAAAAAAAAAAATTCTTAGCCAGGCGTGGTGGTGCCTGTTAACCCAGCACTCAAGAGACTAAGGCAGGAAGATTGCTGCAAGTTCAGGATCAGCCTGGGTTACAAAGTGAGCTCAAGACCAGCCTGAACTGCATAATGAGACCCAAAAATTTTAGAGAGAAAGCTCTGCAACTTTTCTCTGTATTAAACTAGAAAGCTAAAGCTACAGTTACTTCTGGCAAGCAGAACACAAGTGATGTCTTAGAAATTCCAGAGTTAAATTCTAAATTCCACACCCTTCACTATATCGTCCTTGTTACATAAACTATAAATCTGGAACTAGAATTCAGACAGGAAATTCTACACTGTTTAAACAAAAACAACAACAAGAAAATCTTCGCATTCCCTTTCCCAGAAACTAGGCATTTTTTTAACTGAAGATTTTTAACTGAAATAGGGTTTCTACCTGGCTCATTTCCACAGAATTTTAACATTGAAAGAGCCAAGGCCTGGGATTTATCCTCGGTTCCTGGGTAGGGGCCAGAAAAACAGAGCCAGGCAGACAGAAAGCCTGGAGTGTGAGGCTCCATACTAAAAGACACCAAAGAAAGGTACTGAGTCACAGGAAGTTGGTGTGGGCTCAATAGTATGGGTCCAGATTTGGTCACAATTATGAGTGACTTGTTTCCTAGCAAATCTGAAGCAGCACTGGAGATTTTAAAGTGAAGGTAAGTAAAGAATTAAAAAATCAAGATTAAGGAGATGAGAAACTTAAAAAGACATCTAGGAACTGCCAAGATAGAAAAAGAAAGACTGAGAGGGCATGTTTGAGCGTTGTACTGAATTTGAGATAACGGCAGGACCCTACACAATAGACTGGTTCTCAAAGGCAGAGATGCTAAGTCACTAGTAGCTACGTGAGTTCCATTCCTGATATAAAATAGGTTGGGAGAAAAAAGAGGATTGTATCTGGGGAAAAAAAAAGGATCCCAAGAGAATATATTAATAACTCAATAAAGGGGAGGAGATGGGCAGCTTAAACGTGTGTATGAGTGTGCGCGTCTGTGCGTGTGTGCAGCTTAGAAGGAAAACTCCCCAAAAGGAAATGCATGTGAGGGCTGCACGCCAAGAAAGGGATCGAGGTCTTGTGGGAGCCGGGCTCCTTTTCAGAAGGTGTCCGCAGGAGGCCAGACCCTCAAACTCACCTCGGCCATAGCCCTGCGTGTGCTTGGCGAAGCTCCTTACCACGGCCTCCACCGCCTCACGCAGCACAGCGGGGCTGCCCGCGGCGCCGGGGGGCAGGGACAGCCCCGCGGCTCCCGACAGAAGCAGCTGCGGTGGGGGCGGCGCAGGGGGCGGCGGGGCCGGCGGGGGCCCCGCCGGGGGTGTGGCGGCAGTGGCTGCAGCCCCCGTCACGCCGGGCCGCAGCGCTCGAAGAGTGCCCCTTCCGCCGGTGCCCACTCCGGGCTGCAGCCGTTGTGCTCGCATCGTCTCCATCCCGGCCGCCAGCGGAGCGGGGCCGGGAGCCTGCCAGCCTGGCGAGCTAACGGTCCCAGCCACCCGCGTCAGCCAGCGCCCGGGGACTGAGGGCGGCGCCGGGAGCCAGCAGTCAGTCAAGTGAGGGCGGTGACGAGCCAGGCCCGATGCCAATCACCAGTGAAAGGGCTAGAAGGGGCGGACCCTCTCGCCACCATAGGCTAATTATCAAAGAAGGTGGCGGTTCAGAGAACCAATCATGAGCAGAAAAGGCAGTGGCTTCTGCAAAGGACAGCATAGCTTCAGGGCATCTTTGAGAGACCTGTGGCTAGCGCTAGAAAGCCAACCAGGCCGTGGGGGTGGGGCTTGAAATAAAACCGGGCCTGAATGTGAGACCTGACAGAATTGTAGGCAGAGAGATAATTTGCCCAACCATTTTATTTTATATAAGTAGCTAAGGAAACTGTCTCAGTTATGAGACTTGTCTAGGATCCCATGGTAATCGGTGTAGAGTTAAAAAAAAAAAAGTATATACTGTGCAGTATATCTTGGTGCATTGTCTTCTTTAATGATCACAATCACAAATCAGATTTTATTATTTTATGGATAAGGAAATTGATGTTCAGGCTAAATTACACAAAATTAAATAACTAGACCGTGTGTGTGTGTGTGTGTGTGTGTGTGTGTGTGTGTTTAGATATAAGTGTCCTGATTTCCAGTATTTTCATCTTTTCACTATGCCACATTATTGGGTAATTTTCTGACTTTATCTCTTCTAAAGAATGAAGTAAGAGAAAAGAGAATCGATGGCTCCCTTTAGTTCATTTAAAGTGAGAAAGCTAAAAAATAGGAAGAAATTAAGCAACCTGAAAAATCCAAGGAGCAGATTTAAAAAGGCAATTTTGTTCACAAAACTTGCCAAACTAGGTTCCTCGAATTAACACAAACATAGGTATACATGCACACATATTACATACCTTTTGTCAGCTGACTATTGAGCTATTTTTTATTTAGGTAAAGTTTGCTTGTTTTTTTGAGACACGGTTTCACTATGTGCAGTTCAGGCTGGCTTTGAATACACTGTGTAGCCCAGGCTGGCTTCAGACTCCCACTGATTCTCCTGCCTCAGCCTCCTGAATACTGGGATCAGAGGCAAACACTACCGTGCCCAGGCTACTTAAGTAATGTTATACCAATTCCCCTCACCTCTCCCACAGCAGCTCAAAAATCAAAGATGGGGTGATAAATGTGACATGAGAAGTAGAAGAAAATAGATAAAATGCACCAGCTGAAATGAAAATTAGACCCTAAAAACTGAGTATTAAGAAACAGGAAGCTTAGCTAGGTGTGGTGGCTCATACCTATAATCCCAGCAGTCGGGAGGCTGAGGCAGGAGGATCATTGAGTTCAAGACCAGCCTGAGCTACAAAGTGAGCCCAAGGCCAGCCTGAACTGCATAGAGACCCTCAAAAAGAGAGAAAAAAGAAAAGAAAAAGAAAGAAAGAAAAGAAGAAGCTTAAAAGAGAGATAGTTAATCTACTAGGAGAGTGGAAGGTGAGACTCTACAGGAATCTTTAAAAATGTAAAGGTGGGCAATGAGGAGATTGGAGGAAATTAAACCCTGTCACATGCCTTAAAGCTGTCAGGACACAGGGCACTTGTTTTTTTCCGACCATAGCTGATCAGTTCGTTGCTAGAAAGAAGGTACAATAGGTATGAAGTCCATTCCCCCATCACTGTAGCTGTCAGTATCCACCTCATCTCCATTCTTTGCTCCCTACACCCCACATCTCCAGGCAGAAGGGACAAAACAGAGATTTTTGAACACATTTATTTGATGTCAAGTAGAGAGGAGAGTGATTTAGGGTTACTCCCCACTTGTACATGTGGGAGTGTTCATAAGCTCAGACAGACATAAGAGCAGCTTAGAGCCCATGACCCACCCTTGGTTGTAGTGCTTAAACAGAGAATAATAAGCAAGAAAGGCAGCAGCAGAATTGAGACTTGGGAGTGCTGCAGGAAGCCCTGGAAGAATGAAGATGTCTTGAAAAGTGGTAAGAGCTGAGAGCAGCATGGGGAAAAGGGAGGCAGACCAGGGGAGAAAAACAAGACCTGCAGAACAGGTAGGATGTTCATAAAAAGAAAGTAGAGTGCGCAAAATCATGATAGGCTGTGTTGTAGGGCACACATGGAAAGCAAGGAATTGCTTTTGCAGGGCGCCATAGGTACAGGAGAGTACCCATAATAAATGTGAGTTTGGGACTCTAGCACAAGTTTTGTGAGTTTACTGGTGCGCTGTGCCTGTGGGTACACAAGTAATCCCACGTGCATGTTAAATGAGTAGGGCACGAATGCATGTGTCTGTATACCACAGAGTCCTGTACTTACTCATTTCTAGTAAGTCTACTGTGCTTATGGGCACGTTTACCCATCTGTGCGTGCACCGTGCCATGAGCACATGCAAGAGACCCCCATGTCCATATGAATATGAATATAAGCTGGTTCTCCCACCTAACCCATTAGAGTCCTGATCTCTGCCCTGCATTGGCTCTTTCCGTTTCTCTCAGCGCCCCGGTTCCCCTGGCCCGCCTAGACTCTGGAAGCCCCCTAACAGTCGGATCTGCTCAGTCTGCATGGAGTGGCGCCTCACCAACTTGCGCTTGGTCCTGGGAGAGCCCGGCACCCCGGCGTGGGGAGGAGCGGGCAGTGAAGGCGCTCGACCTCCGGGTTGGGGGCGAATGTCAGGGATGGGAGGGTGGGGGCTGATGTTGAGTGGGGGCAGGAAACCCGGCCGCGTTTGTGAGATGTGGTCCAAGAGCAACGTCCCCGAACCCCTCCGCTCCAGCAGCCCGGGACTCCGCCTCCGTCCACTCAGCGGAGAGACAGCCCCGGGTAGGCTTTCCTGGGACTGGCGAGGGGAGGGAACAGAGCCGGCTGGAGGGAGGGTCAGCGGGGAGGCGCTGTACCGGCGACGCTCCAAGGACGGGCGGCTGCACTCGGGAGAGTCTGGGCAAAGATGTCCGGGGGCGTCCAGCTCCACTGGCTCCATCCGGCTCAGTTTTTGCCTTAGCCCAGAAGGAAGACCAGACTCCTGAGCCTCAGGCGCAGTGTTCCGACGCGAAAGGGGACCCCCTCCCGTCACTTTCTCCGCCCATGGGGGCGGGCCCTCCGGCCCCTCGGTGCTGTGACGTCGAGAAAGACGGGGTCGCCCTGTCAGGGTCAGGCCATTGAATTCGGCTGTCAAGCGCTCGATCCCCGGCCTCCCTTCTGCAGGAGGGACTGGTTGAGGAGGAGCCACTAGGCCCCAGGGCTCAGAATTGAGCCTTTTGAGTGGTTTGGGGGGATGTCGAGGTGGTTTGGGGAGCGGCTCAGAAGGGGAGGAGTCATCAGGGGGCTTAGGAAGAGGGAATTCAAATACATCCCGCTTCTCCTCTTCTTCTTGAGCACGAGGGGACAACAATCCTCGTCCTCCTGCACTCTGCAGTTGGATCTCTGAAGGCGACGTGCAGATTCCCGGGCTAGAAGGAGCCGGAGCAGGGTCCTCTACCCCCGGGGATGGTGGGGAATTGAGATACTGACGGGTCTTCTTGGTGCCCGAGGGCGAGGTATCGGTGGTTATGATGATGACCTCCGTGCCCTTGGCCTTGCAGGCATCCAGCAACGTGGCGAGGGTCTCGCGGTCCCCGCGGTCCAGGGCATGGACAAGTGCCGAGGCGCCTGCATGATCTCGGACTGAGGGGTCTGCACCATGGGCAAGCAGCAGCGAGGCCACGGCGGCGCCCCCACCCCCGGCGCAAGCGTGCATGAGCGCTGTGCGCCCCAGGCGGTCTGCGATGTTGGGGTCCGCGCCTTGCTCCAGGAGGTAGCGTACCATGCGTGCCTTGTTCTGGGGATCGTCGTAACGGGCTCGACAGGCCGCCATTAGCGCAGTCTCCCCCTGGGCATCACCCTCATTCACATAGGCTCCTCCCTCCAGAAGCAAGCGGGCCAGGCGTAGCTTACCCTGACCCACCGCCCGAAGAAGAGCGTGGCCCTCGGTGTGCAGCATAGCTACAGCGGGGTCAAGAACACCGATGGAGCCGGGACTAGGACCTGCCGAGGTGGCTAAGGCTCAGAGTAGTGACTGGCACTCTGGCCTGAGATCTCAGAGGCGAATCTTATTCCTGCGAAAAAGAGAGAGATCTGATTGACGGATTCAGCAGGGAAACTGAGGCCGGAGGCACCTGGCACGTAGCGAGACAGATCTCCATCACACACAGTCCTTCCTCTAACTCCTGCCTTTGAGCCGCCCCTTCTCCCCAGCGCATGCCTAAGGAGGTGGGAAGGGTGCACCCGCACTAAAGAATGAACGCGCCTGTAAATATGTACGTGCACGCGCAGGACTCGCACCCCCACCCTCACCCCACGGCTTGTCAGACCTTTCCAGCATCCCCTTTTCTTAACCACATTTGGAAACCCCCTTTCTAGGATGCTGAACATCACCCACCCCCACACATGCACCCTACAGTCACACACGTATTTCCATTCCTAACCTCTTTTAGATTGCTATAATCCCCAAAATTGAGTAGGGGGAAGGAAGCAATTTGCGTCTGGGACCCAAACGGTGAAGGAAGAATTTGTTTTCCCTTTGCTATGTGCCCCATCGCTCCCTGCTCATTCTCCCACCAGACTGTGCACCCAAATAGATATACCTGAATGTCCGCAGAATCTGTGCCTGGCCAAGATTGAGGCGGGGGCCATGGGACAGCCGGAGTGGAGCAGCCAGAGTCCTGGGGGTCCACATGGCTTGGGGGGGGGGGCAACCAGATTCCCTTGGTATCAGTATCTGCACCCGGGCACCGGATCCTGATCCCTCCTCCCGGTGCGCCCCGGGCACAGCGCCGGCTCCCGAGGAGAGAAGCTGGGGGGGGGGGGGGAGGCGGAGCTCTGCTGTGCTATTTATAGCCCAGTCTCTGCGGGTGGGGGCGTCAGGCACCAAACTGCTCCCCACCAAAGCACACAGAAACCCTGAAATACCTAGAAACTCCAGTCCTGATTTCCTTTTCTCAGCTGACCTCCCCTCAGTTCCAACAAACCTAGGCGTTCCTTAGGGTACTCTTTGGCGACCCACAGAGGGAACATCCAGATTTTTCACTGAGCTTCCTCAGATCTCCATTCTCAGCTCTCAGTGTGTTTATGCACTCCTATGCGCCAGACCTGACTGCCACACATGGCATATGGCAAACTGTGCCGAGAGTTGTGGAGAGGCGATTGGGATCCACATAAGTGTCCATACTGTGAGAGAGGTGGGGGAGCTGGCTGCCTGCTTGTCGGTTAGGTATTAGGGAAAGGACGGTCCAGCTGGAGTCAGACACAGCAATACATCCCCAACCCACCTTTCCCAGAACAGCATATACATCACGAGAAACTTGGACTTCGGTTCCTTATTTAGATCTCTTTGTGTGAGGAAGGTAGGTAACCTCGGGCATTTTTGGACCTGTCAAGGGGCATTCCCAGGTGGCTCTTTCCCATGGGAGGATGAGGACAGGAAAAGAGCAGGGGGATACGCAAACCTGTGACACAGCCTCTCTCATTGCTTCTCCTTGCTGTATTTTGTTCAGATTAATTTTTTTATCTTGTTCGGAGGTCCCTGTACAATTGTCCCTATGCTTTCTCTCTTCCTATTTGTCGTTGTCCTCTGTCTCTGCCTCTCCTTGCCACCTAACCTGTCTCCATGGTTACCATAGCTTCCATCTGCATATTTTAGGAATGAGTGTGGCCTGATGGAAGGCACAGGCATGAAGGGAAGTGGGGGATGAGGAAAAATCCTTAGGATTTGGAAGGGTCACCTGTGGTCCTAGATAATTCAGAGGTTGGAGGCCAGCTGACAAAAAGACACTAAAAATAACATTGCTGGGGAATAGGGAGAAAGAAATATTTGCTGGGAAACTAGCCATTTTTACTGGTCACCAATGTCAACTATGTGCCAAGTGCTTTCCATACATTATCTTTTGCAACACCTCCACAAGACAGGAACTACTATCTTCTTGTAACACGGCATAATGTTAAGCAAAATTTCCAACGCTTCAGAGCTATGTCTTTGTTTTATTCCACCTGCCACAATACCTCCTGCTCTAGAGGTCATTTTTTCTGAGAGCAGGGATATTCTTGTTGACTAACTCCTGGATTTTATCTTCCCTCTGCATTCCTTCCCTGTCTGTCTTCTGTGAAAGTAGGTCTCTTCCTTCCACCTTGCCCCTGTTAGCTAGAGGCCTGGAGGGGCCTAAAAGCAGTGGAAAATGCAGAAAACATTGGGTTCTTGCCCTGCCTCCCCGACTCTACTCTGATAACCAATCCTTTCCCAATCCTCTTCCCACCTTCTCCCAGACACGGCAAAAACCCATAGAAAATCATTTTTATACGTATCCACTGGTGATGCTGAAGAAGACAGTGTAGAATTGAAGGGAAGGTTGTAATCGAGAAGAGGCCAAACTGTCAAGGAAGAGTCAGGCTCTCCTGTTTTAGCCTCTCTTGGGCGGAGCGATCTCCTTCAACAGATCTTGCTATAAGAGGTGAGTGTCAAGTTCTCTTCGCAAACTCTTACTAACCAGGAGCCGCCCCAAAAAGGTGAGGTGGAAATAACGGATCCCTGGTGAGCTACAACCCAGTCTCTCTCAGAGCGGCGGTTTTCAGCCTTAGTTCCGGCGGGCTCTCCCGGCCTCCGCTGCTTTGCTTTCAAGTGGGCAGACCTCTCTCCTCCACTTCTCCTAGATTGGCTGGGAGAGCCGGCCAATAGGGAGCCCCGGGAGGCGGGCCTAGAATGCGGCCAGCTTGAGGAAGAGAAGCAAATTTAGAGTTGGCTTCGGCGCCGGCTCCGTGTGGGGGAGGGGCAGCAGGTAAGCCTCTGACCTGGTGACTGTAACCTGATTTGGTCCCACACTTTCCAGAGTAGTTCACCTGAGACAGATTGCAATACAGACGTCTTCCGGCAGCCTGTTGGATCAACCCGCTTCTGGCTCCCTACCTTTTCTCCCCTGGGCTCCCATTGCTGCGACGATCAGATTTTCTATCACGCATCAGGGGAGAGATTGAATCAGCAAATCAGGGAAGCTCGCTCTTACACATTTTCTCTTTGCTATAGCATCAGCCTCCTAGCTTGGATCTATTAACACTGTCCTAAGAGCCTGACAAACTCCTGTGATCTGTCAAGACTCAGCTTCATACCTCCTACCTGTAGCTTTCCTGGATCCCATTTTTTGCAAAAAAAATATATATTTTTTTTCTTTTTGGTATCGGGAATTGAACTGAGGACCTCACATTTGTCAGGTAGACACTGTGCCACTGAACTATATCCCCAGCTCCTTTTGCAAAATTCTTATCCTCGCTGATGATGAGTCGTTTTTTGTTTTTGTTTTTAAGATAAGGGCTATGTAGTTCAGGCTAAGCTTGCTGCAAGAGTCTTCTGCCACAGCCTCCTCCTGGGTGCTGGGATTACTGGCGCCACGCTAGGCTTGATGATAGCATTTTATGTATATCTCTATTAGAGAATGTAGAGTGAACTATCTCTTAATGTTTCTGTCTTCCTTAGAACATCAGGTTTGTAGAGCCAGTTCTAGAACGTGGTACATACTGCCCAATACGTGTTGATTCAGTGGAATTGATTTCTGGAAACTAGCACTTTTGTTGGGGAGGCAGAATATAAACGCCTAAAGTAATTGGAGAATAAATGACAATACTATATATAATTAAGAGTCCTTAAATTAGTGGTTTAAAATATGAGTAATTGCTTATATAGTACAGAAAAGGAAGAAAGGAAAGAGAACTGGAAGAAAGGCTTTATGAATCACCAAGTCTCAGGTTTAGAAGGCCAGTAAAATCATGAATTTATTCATTCATTCAACAAATATTTATCAAGTACGTCCCATATGCCAGATACAGTGCTAGGCAATGAGGTGCATAGTGAATCCTTTGCTCTAAACACAATCTTTTCTCTCTCTGATCAATCCTATTTATTTAGTTTCTGTTTAATCTTCTTCCTTTTTCTTTTTTTGTCAATGAATTTGAACCCAAGGCCTCATGAATGCTAAGCACGGACTCCACCAATGAGCCACATCCTCTGCCCCTGTGTCATCATCTTTATTAAGAGAACTCACTATCTCTTTTTGCAGATCATTCCATTTTGGAATATTTGTTCTTTAGATAGTATCCAACAAATATTTAAAATAAGAAACATGTTGCTTAATGAACTGCATTCTGTATCTCCCTTGTAAAAGAGGGGGATATGTTTGTACCCTCCCCGCTTTATTTTCCAATACTGGATATTAAATCCAAGGCCTTTGCACTGAGCTGTATCCCCCCAGACCTTTTTAAATTGTTAATTTTGAGATTGCAAAGGCAAGCAGAAACACCAAAATGACACCCAGAATTTGGAGGCAGATTTTATTTATATCGATGGGTACTGATCAGGATCATTCCTAAAATATCAGGACCCATCTCTAGTGGTCTAGGGCTTATATGGATAAGCAAGCAGGAAGTACAGAGGCAGAATGGCTTGTCAATTGGAGACTGGTTCTTCTTCTTCTTCTCCTTTTTTTTTTTTTGTATAATTATGCATCAAATTCATTCATAAATTTTGACTAGTTGTGATATAGGGGAAAGAAACTTCCAACCTGCTAGATGGCTGGCATGAGTTTGTGTTCTCTAAAATTGAAGAGTGAAGATAGAATGTATTTATTGAGAAAAAGAAAGCTTCTGTCCGACAGAGAGACAAAAGAGATCCTGAATAGGTTGCCTGGAGTTTGGTTCTTACAATATGCATTATAGTGACCAGCTGTGCCATTCTTGACCAGCTGTTTCCGAGAAACAAACAGGCCTGGGGATATAGTGGCATAAGCACCTGCTTGATAAGCACAAGGTCCCAAGTTTTGATTCCCAATAAATAAATGGTCAACATCTAAGAAACAAACATAACAGGAACTATAACTGGGCAACTAATAAACTGAAATACACTGGCGGGGTGAGGGGGGATTTTTCTGCTACAAGGTAAGGTCTTGCTAAATTACTTAGTTGTCCTGGCTAGGATCCTCCTGCCTGCACTTTCTAAATGCCAGCTTATAGGCATGTGTTACCACACGCAGGTTATAGCATTTTTTTTTTTTTTTTTTGGTTATAGTGTTCTTAAAAGCAACCCAGTCGTTTTATTTGGTGATTATGACAGTAATACTCACTTATTCCAGAAAATTTGGAAACACATAAACATATAAGGGAAAATGTCTACTATGTCATGATCCTAATGTAGTCAAAACTGTTATTCATATTTTGATATATGTTCTGTTACTGTCTATATTCAGGGTGTGCATATGGGTATGTCATTCACAAATATGACTACATAGTAAATACGACTTTATATCATGTTTTCTCTCAACTCTGTTAACATTTTCTGTACAAAACAGGTGCTTATGCTACTGAGCTAAATCCCCAGCCCCAACATTTTCTATACAATGAACCTTTTTCTGCTTTTAAATATTATTTGAAGTCATGAGTTTTGAAGTCATGTATTATTGTAGTTATGAGTCATGGCTACTTAATAGTCTAAAATGATAAACTAATTGTTTTTTGGTTTCGTTTTTTGAAACAAGGTCTCATTACATAGTTCAGACTGGCTTTGAACTCACCATGTAGGCCTTGGACTCATGGCAGCCCTCTTGCCTCAGCTTCCCAAGTGTTATGTTTACAGGCATGTGCCATTATGCCTGTTTTTGTCTGTCTTTTGAAACAGAGTCTCCCAGTAATTTAGGCTGGCCTCAAACTCGTCTCCCTAGTGCTGGGTTTACAGACATTTACCACTATGCCTGGTTGGTTATTGGAGTTTCTTTCCATCTATTTCCTATCATCATCATCATCATCATCATCATCATCATCATTATTATTATTGGAATTTTTGCTACCATAAATAGCTCTTTGATGAACATCCTAGCACATATATATTTGTATAGCTGATCATTTTTATAGCATAGATTTTAAAAGTAGGATTATCAGATTAAGAATATAAATACGTAAAAACCTATTGAGTCAAACAGTGGTCAAATCATGATTGTATTGATAGTCTTTTTAGTGAGGTATGAGAGTCCATCTAAAAAAAAATTCACATCTTGATTATTATTTAAATATTTGTCAAGACTATAGGTATAGTATAGTTTTATTGGGTATTCTTTTGTCAATTTCCTATTCATTTCCTTTGCCCACTTTTTCTGTTTGAGAGGCTTTTTTCTTTCATTTAGGCTTCCAAGTGTTCTAATATAATAAAAGCATTAACTTCCTGCCTTATATATTACAATTATAGCAACTATGAAAAGTAGAATACTCCAGCCCTTATTCCCTGGGTCAACCCCTTTAGAGATCTCATCCAGTCTTATGACATGAGTTATTATTTATATGCTGATGACTCCACCAAAAATGTAAACTACTTTTAAACCTGATGGTACAGCAGAGTATTTTTGTCCTTGCTGCGCACTAGGTGCTCTAAGCACCTAGAACAGTGCTCAGAACATGAGAAGTACTCAATAAATATTTGTTAAATGAATTAAAATGTATTATTATTATTCCTGTTTTGCAAATGAGGAAAGAAGTTTAGAGGTAATTTTCCAAAATTTGCGTAGCTAGGAAATGGCAGAACTGTGATTCAAATACATGTTCTTATCCACTATGGGTACTGCCTTTCTTAAATTTGATGTATATGTTAGTGTTTTCTGTTTGTTTTGTTGAAACTCACCTCACCACAATACACAGGTATAAGTATAGTGTATATGAGACATTTGTGGGGAAGTAAAATGCAAGGGTAAACGCTTGAGAAGGTTGATATTAAGGAAGTATGGATTGGGACCAGAGTAGAGGTCCCAAGAGTTTCGACTCCATCACAATCAGAAATAGAGACATGTAGATTCCTGAGCCAAGAGGGGTTGATGAATGCATTATAGTTCCTAACCAATAATTTATTACCTAGGTTAAATGAAATTTTGTCCTTTCCCCTCCGAATCCTTAGAGTTCACACACTTCATATGTAGGAATAGGTTTGTCTGACTTACAGGCTCCTGGCCTTATTTTGTTTGAGGCAGGGTCTCACTTTGTAGTTCAGGTTGGCCTTGAAATTGTGGTGATCCTTCTGCTTAAGCCTCCTCACTGCGCCTAGCAACAAAGGAGTACCAGTGCCAAGAGCCAGCCAGGAATCACCTTGAAATATTGGCCTGGGTTTGAATTTGGGATCCTCTGCCTCAGTTTCCTGAATGCTAGTATTGCAGGATGCACCCTGCACCTGGCTCAGCCTATCTTTTCTAACAGACTTTCTAAATCTCTACCCCTCAAATGCCATTTATATTTTGTTTTGTTTTGTTTTGTTAAGGACTCACTATGTAGTTAGGTTGGCTTTGAACTAACTATAGCCCAGGCTGACCTGGAAATGGTGACAATCGTCTTGCTTCAGCCTCCAAGAGCTAGGATTATAGGCACGTGTTACCACTCCTGGCTGAAATATTTACATAATTTGTTTGGAATTCTGCACAAGAGATTTGCTGTTTTTCCTCCATGTATTAATTTATTCTATCCCTTATAACACTGTATTCTTATGGATATTCATTTTATACTTTGGAGTTAGAATCTAAAAACACTTTTTGTTGCTGTCATATTTTTGAGATAGGGTTTCACTAGGAGGTTCAGGTTGAACTCACTTTGTAGCCCTGGCTGACATGGAACTTGAAGTGATCCTCCTGCTTCAGCTTCCTGAGTGCTGGGGTTGCAAATGTGCACCACCATACTGGGCCATCACTTTATTTTATTGCTCAAATTTTTCCAGTTTTGACCATTGGGAGCTTCTATAGTTATTTCTTGTGCCCCTGTGATAGGGCCCCATCAGCTGTATGAGCTGACTGTTGTTTTGAGCATTTCCTTGTCTGGCACCTTGAAATGTTCCAGGCTTATCTGCTTTATTTCCTGCCCCATTCTAGAAGCAGCCATTTATCCAAGGAACCCTGGTTGATATTAAAATGATATTACGGGGCTGAGGGTATAGCTCAGTGGCACAGCACTGCCTGGCAAGCGCGGGATTGTGAGTTCAATTCCCAGAACCGAAATAAATAAATAAATAAATAAAAACAGAGGTCTAGGTGTTGAGTGTGTTCACTGCTACTGGGATAGCATGCCTTCCAGGTTTCATTTTCATTTGGTGATTTTATTCCTCATCCTAGCTGTCTCTGACTGGCTGCTCAGGATTGATGACAGGAGGTAGACAAAGAGGAACTCAAATACAGTGGTACTGTCCACAGTGGAGTGGCTGCCTTGGGAGAAGAATGGATACCCTCACATTAGGGAAACGCTTCCAGAGACTGAATAAACATTTTAACAGAGTGGAGCTTGCACTGGGAGGGTTTGGATTAGTGACCTCTGAGGGTCTTTCTAATTGTCCGTGCTTTCAAGTAGTGTTCAAAAAGATCAATTTGATTGTAATGTCTCTTTCCCCCTCATTGACAGCAAGGTTATTTGTTCATTCCTATGTCCCCCACAGAGTCCGACACACTACCTTTTTCATGTTAAATATTTTGCTGAACTGCACTAGGTTGACCAGGACTCTGGTTAAGTTTGGAAGGTCAGGGAGAAAATTGAAAAATTACTTGTAGAAATATAGGTAGTGCTAAGCATCAAGTTGTCTTAGGGACTGAGAGAAGTTTTATCTAAGACTCTAATCACTTTTTCTTTTGTACTGCAGTTAATTTCTCTTATTGAGATCTTGTCTCATCCATGTTTATGCTTCCTAAAATACCCAGCCTGGCACTTCTCAGTCAAAATTTGTTGAATGACATTGGCTTTTTAAATGTCAGGGAGAGAAGATGAAGTGTCTTGTGTCTATTTGACTCCCTGATTCTTCTTGTCTCCTTTTTCTCTTTGTTTTTGTCATTGTCAGGTTTTTCTCACTGTATCTCTGAATATCCCAGGCCCCTTCCACCATGGCCAGCCGGGGTGGGGGCCGGGGTCGTGGTCGGGGCCAGCTGACCTTCAACATGGAAGCTGTGGGCATTGGGAAGGGGGATGCTTTGCCTCCACCCACTCTCCAACCTTCTCCACTCTTCCCCGTGAGTATATCTCCGTCCTTCCCCAAACTGCAGTGTGCCCCTGACTGACCATGTGTGATCCCAGATTCCTCCCATCTTGCCCCTGCTGTCTCTTTCTTTTCAACTCACAGGGGTATTTCCAGGATAAAAAGGTGTTTACCCTTACCTCTCACGCTCCCAGCTCCCTAGCTTTCAGAATACCAGGTCATCTCATCCCACCTTTCGCTCTTTTGGGTCTCTGCTCAGTGGGAACATTAGGTTAAGTCAAGGGGAGAGGCCCTCTTGGGTTTGTTCTCTGTCATTTTCTCCCTGAATTAACCATTGCTTCCGCCTCCTTAGCCCCTGGAGTTCCGCCCAGTGCCTCTGCCCTCAGGAGAAGAAGGGGAATATGTCCTGGCGCTGAAGCAGGAGCTGCGAGGGGCTATGAGGCAACTCCCCTACTTCATCCGACCAGCTATCCCTAAGAAAGGTCAGCTGCCATCATATTTGGAGCACCTGTGCTCAGTAACGGTTGGGGCCCTATGAAGCACAGAAATGCACTGGGGCCATAGTAATTCTCCTGTATGGGAAATGTATAACAGTATTTGTGATTTATTTTGAGTCTCACAATAGTCTTAGGCGAGTAAGTGTCACATGTATAAATGGGGGGATTAATTTGGGAGAAGCTACTGGGGAGTGAACCGAAGGCCTTTACACTGGGCTACATCCATAGCACTTTTCATTTTTTATATTTTGAGATAGGTTCTTGCTAAATTGTTAAGTTGCCCAGGCAGGGCTCAAACTTGGAATCCTTTTGGCTCAGCCTCCCAGAGTGCTGGGATATGGTATCATGCCAGGTTTAAAAATTTTTGGTTTCTTTTTTTTTTTTTTTTTGTCTTTTTCCTTTTTATCGGTAACAGGGATCGAACTCATGACTGCCTGCTTGCAAGGCAGGTGCTTACGCTGCTGAGCTAAACCCCCAGCCCCAGGTTTAAAATTTTTTAACAAAACTTAACATGTCCCATCCAATTAGAAAAGCACTAGTGCTGGATCTCTGAGCACCCTACATAAATAAAATATTAACTCTTTGCCTTGTGGGTCATAGGGAGTTCTGGGAGACCAGGAGGGAGGAAGACTTGGGACAGTGAGTAATTTACCAACTGGTATAGAAGGACAGCAGTGTTTTACTGTATCAACTACTGGTGCTTTCCTGCTGAAGACCTGGAAGCTCAGAGCTCAGATAGATGAAAGATTTACTAAATTAATCTCATTATCACGGAGTAAAGCCTGAAATCCTGGTCTCTATCCCCTAGAACTATTCCTTTTCCCCCAGCTCAGTTACTGGGGATTGAATCCAGGACCTTTACACTGAGCTATCTCCCCCATCCCTTTTTTCCCTTTTTTATTTTGAGACAATGTTTTTTAAAGTGGCTAAATTGTCTATGCTGGGGCTCAAACTTGTTATCTTCCAGCCTCAGCCACTCAGAGCCCAGGGATTACCAGCATGGACCATAATTCTCTCTCTTGATACAACAAAATCATCATAATTTGGGGAGGTAAAAGGTCAAGTTAGAAGAGTAACAGGTTCACTGATGCTGACCCCCTGGGCTCTAGTTTTCTGGTGAGAGACAGATAATGCCTTGATACTGAAAAGGGTAGACCCTCAGGAACAACCCTGTTCCAGGATCTGGAGGAATAAGACTTTGACTCTTGACCTCTGATCCCTCAGATGTGGAACGTTACTCAGACAAATATCAGCTGTCAGGGCCAATTGACAGTGCCATTGATTGGAACCCTGGTAAGTGACATGTCCTTCCATTGACCGCACTTTTTCCAAAACGTGTGATGCATGTCCCTCCAAATGTCCATGTTCTCTCCCCCATGAAGCATCTGCAAATGAGAACTTTAGATGTGCTCTAAACATTCTTTCAGATTCCACTTGAAAATATTAAACCTCCTCGACTCCTCCAGAGGCATGAGCAACTTGACCCAGCCCCTTTCTTTCCCTCTTTTAAGACCTCCACCTTGCCTTTCGTCATTATTCACCAGAAAGCCCAGAAGGTCTTTCTGATACATTGTCACTCTTCCCAGATTGGCGGCGTCTACCCCGGGAGCTAAAGATTCGAGTGCGGAAGCTGCAGAAGGAACGTAAGTGTATCTGGGAAAAAGGGGAGAAGTAAAGGTGTCTTGCAGTGGTTCAAGAGCCTTCCCTTAATTCCTACTCAGTCCTAGAATTGTTGCTGGATGCCGTGATGGCCACATGAGGGCAGCAAAGTGGCTTGTTTGCCCAAGGGTGGAGTAGAAACCTAGCAAGGGAAATAAGGCTCTGCCGGTTTACCTTTTTGATCCCTCAACCAGGGACCACCATTCTACCTCCCAAGAGGCCTTCTAAGACCACAGAAGATAAAGAGGAAACAATGCACAAGTTAGAGGTGAGCAGAAAGTGCTGCATATGCAAAGAGCTCCTGGGTCCCAGCTGCTTTCCCTACACCGTGGCCCACGTGTACCCCAGTTTTCCCTTTCTGTGAGCTGAGTTGGAGTTTCCTTTTCTGTTCATCTTGGCTTAAGACCTTGGAGAAGAAGGAAGAAGAAGTGACTTCAGAGGAAGATGAGGAGAAAGAAGAAGAAGAAGAAAAAGAAGAGGAGGAGGAGGAGGACTATGATGAAGAAGAACATGAAGAGGAAACTGACTACATCATGTCATATTTTGACAATGGAGAGGACTTTGGAGGTGACAGTGATGATAACATGGATGAGGCTATATACTGAAGAAAAATCCTAAGTAACATTCATATCTTTATTTGAGATCTAGAGAATAACTTTTATTTAGTTTTAGGAACAAAAAAAAAAGCATCATTAGGCCAGAGTCCAGATAACCTCTTTGGTCTCTGGAGACAGGAATGGAAAATAATGACAGGGGCTTTAATTCCTCCTCTTCTCCTCCTTCCCCTGCATCATATCTCGTATCTTGGGGAAAGGGGAAAGGGTCGCTGCTTTAATCCTAGGAAGGGAAAGAAGAGCACTGAAAGAGTAATGGGCTTGGGCCAGGCATTTGGCTCAGCAGCATAAGCACCTGTCTGGCAAGCGCTAGGTCCTGAGTGTGATCCCTGATACCAAAAAAACCCCACAAAAGTGTAAGAGTAATGGGCTTGTTTGGGCTGAGACAGTCACACACATTCCTTCCCAATTTTTACAGCTTTTATGCTTGTAATTGGGCGTGGGAGGAGGTAAGAGTAAGAGTGGTTTTTCCCCCCTTTTTTATTGTGGTACATAATAAATTTCATTGTGAGGCTGTTACATATTTTTTAAATAAAAGTGTTTTTTATCTATCTCTCTGTCATGGGTGAATTCTGGGGGAGGGGCTGCAGGAAGAGCCAAAAGGATGCCCAGCTGAGCCATTCTTCTTTAGCTGTCACAGTCCAGTGTGACACAGAGAGGGTTAGAGCCTTCTTGTCCTTTGTCCTTCCCCTCCCGCCCCATGGTGAGCACATAGGGAAACTGTAGCCCTGCTGGGGGATAGTCAGGCATGCATCTGCAGGGCCCTTTGGAGTGAGTTGTGGAACACAACCCATGCCACCCTAAACCAGCTGGCTTCTGAGCCTCTGATCCTCAGGTCACAGTGACATGACCACTTCTGTGTACATGTGTTCACAAGGGCACAGGCCTTCCTTTCCCACACTTGCCCTTGACTGTGTCCTTATTTACACGGAATGATTACAGCTATTTTTGTGGGGAGAGTCAAGAAAGCCAGGTGCAGGGAGGGAGGAAGGGCTGACTCAGTCTTCTCCAAGACCTGTACACCCCACTCTGAAAGGTAAGTCTGCAGAGGGAGCGCCCTAAATATCCTGTGCTCCACATGCACAAGCCAGTGTGTGGCCAGTATGTAGCTTCTCTTTCGATTTTTCCCTTTGTGCAGTTTAGCTAACCATTCTTATTCCCTTCTCTGGGGGAAAGGGGCCGGCAGTGTTGCTTTACAGGAAGTAAGGAAGCCAGTGACTTAGGGACATTCAGGGCTCTGAGCGATGCTTTCTCACCCACACAGCTCTCCTTGAGTGAAGTCACTTCCCTAGGCTCTGATTGGCTTCTGAGGAAGACTCAGATGAGCTGATTGGTTCCAGCCACATAGCATGCAACAGTCACGGACAAGCTGCATGTCCAGAATAGGAACTGAATAAGGAAGCATGAATAGATATCTGGGATGCTACAGCATTTGAAAATCAGAAGGTGGGATAGAGGAGAACCTTCAAGAATTTCCCAGTTGCATTTAGGCCACTGAATTCCCTACAGTATCAAATGATAAAGACTGTTAATCCAAGGCCAGGTGTTCCTGATGGTATGGTAAAGAATGAAGTGGAGCTGCTACTCCATTGAGGGAAAGCACTTTAAAAGACTAGTTTAAAAGTGGTGATGAGTGTTATGACAAAAGCAGCCAAGAAAAAGCAGGGAAGAGGAATAGAAGAACATTCCAAGATTATTGAACAATTTGTGATGGTTGATGTATTTCCTTTTCTAACGCTGAAGTATTTTGTGTGAGAGAAAGTGGGCAGAAGGGCCAGGTCACCTGTCATAGAGGTTTCCCATAGTTATACCTCACCCGTGACTAGCTAGGAGGAAATCAGCAAAAGTGAAAGTAAAAGACCCAGAAAATTATCCCTTTATTTTACTTACACACACACACACACACACACACAAATTCACCAACTCTTGATCGATTAAATATGTTAAAGTCACAGTCTGAGAATTTAGAAGAGCAGGAGAAGAATTCAGAACAAAAAGGAAGAGCAGAACAACAACCCTATCTGCTTCCATGTACATATCTTTTTTCCAAGAAATAGAAGAGAAAGGAGGACGGAGGTTGGCATGACCACTTGGGATCAGTTGTACTGCCTCAAAGACAAAAACATCATAAAGATCCAACCATTCTTGGATTCTGCCCTGTCTGGCTGCCTGCCTTTCCTGGCAGGTGACATTTCTGGACAAAGCCAGAGACACGAGACCCAGCAGCTTTCCCAGATTCCAGAGCTGACGCAGGCATGAAGTAGACCATTAACCTTTCACCGACTTACCCGAGCTACAGGGGGCACACTGAAGTCAGAACCTAAGGCTCCGTAGATGGGTGAGGGCTGCTGTTGGCTCTGGAGGACTTCCAGAGGTTGAGAGATTGGGGTTGAGGCACTGCTAACAAACGTTTACAGAAGAAGATCCACGAAGTGTTGTCAACCCTGTTTTACATGGCTGCCAGGACCTGTTTATGGTGAACAAATTGTTCCCAGGCCCACAGTCTGGGCACCCTGGCCCCAATCAGGATAAGTTCTAGGACAAAAATCCTGTCCTTCCCCACCCATGTTCTTCCCCTGGCCTTCTATCGTCTCCCATTCGAGGAGGCAGCTTTGGGAGTGGGGTCTGCAAACAGGTATTGGGACTCATGGTGTAAGGAAGCCCCGAATGGGAGACTTAGAAGCAACATGCAGTTTAGGTGGCAGTGAAGACCAAAAAGAGAGGCAAAGGTCAGCTGGATAGTTGAAGGGGTACCTGTGGTTTGAGAAAGAAAAGACAGTTAATTCCCTTGACTCATTTTTATTGCTGTTTGAACTTTGAAAGGAAATAAAAGTGGCCGTAAGCACCAGCTGATTAAGAATTAAGTCATGAAGCCAGGCGTGGTGGCTCACGCCTGTAATCCCAGCACTCGGGAGGCTGAGGTGGGAGGATCGTTGAGAGTTCAAGACCAGCCTGGGCTACAAAGTGAGCTCAAGGCCAGCCTGAACTGCACAGCGAGATCCCATCTCAAAAAAGACAAAAAATAAAAAAGAATTAAGTCATGGGGAAGGATTGTCATCATCATCTCTACTGGGCAAAGCACCCTTTCATCGTCCTAGATTTGCCATTCCATAGTTTTAGGCCCTTAGAAAAGCCGTATCAAGTCTCCATGCCTTTATCCCTCATGTCTGATATATGGGTATAGAGTAAATGTCCACTAGTAACCCTTCCCAGCTCACACGGTGGGGCTAATGTGGATGCACCTGCCAGAGGCCAAATGGTTTCCAGAACAAAGGCAGGATATGTCCAGCTTGTGCTGAACTCGTTCCATCTGTGGGATTTTCCCACCTTATTTTCAGCTCAGGCAAGCTAAAGATACCTCAGGCATCTCGCCAGTCATTTTCCAAGAACCCTTTGGCCAGAAGAGCAATAAGATCAACAATCCCATTAACTAGTGAAAAAGGAGAAAATCCCTGGGGCTGAGTTCAAGGTCATGACCTGTAAATCAGGACTCAAACAGATCGTCAGAGATTTCTGACTGAGGAAGGGGCTGGTTGGTCTCTTCTCTTCAAATATCGTGCCTCGCTGGAGGACAGAGAAGATAAATAAGCTGGACAAGAATAGCATGGGTAATCTGGCTGGACAGTGGTGACCTCTTCTCCATTGACCTTTCGCCTATTGAGGTCCACTTTTCCCCCCAAGATTACTTGGGATCACAAATCTAGAAATAAGGATTTTTAGTTTCCTGCCAGCACCTGAGAAAGGTCTTTGCCTTATGAAACAAGGCTTAATTTGAACCTGGAGGAGAAAGGGGCTCCCACAGCAGCCCTAATTGGAAATGAGTAGGACCCTGATCTGACTCAGTAGCAGAACTTAAAAGACAATCACTTGGGATTCTAAGAGTGTTGTGGGTGAATCCAAGGATTTCTCAAAACTGACCCTGACCAACATCCTCATGATTTTATAGTCTGGCACTACTGTATCATTCATTACTTCCTCCTCTCCCCTCTGCATGCCAGCTATGAGATGTGTTCCCCAGAACTGAATCACCTGCCACTCCCTAGGCAATCTCCATTCTCCTGTCACTTTGCAGTTCAGGCTAGCCTTGAACTCAGAGATCTTCCTGCGCAGCCTCCTAAGAGCTGGGATTACAGGCATGCGCCACCACACCTGGCAACTCTATGTCTTTTTTTGTCTTTTTCCTTTTTATCGGTACTGGGTATCGAACTCACAACTGCCTGCTCGCAAGGCAGGCGCTTATGCCGCTGAGCTAAATCCCCAGCCCCAACTCTATGTCTTTTGATGTACAATAGAGAGAGGGAACATATACAAATTTGTCTCTAACACTCTGTAACACTCAGGTCAGCATGGGTAGTACTAGGATAGATGTGGTTTACTTAAATCTGTCTTTGTCTTACCTATTCTTAAGGAGAATAGGAGAATAAGTACTGGGGCTTCTTTTCCTATCCAAATGGACTTCACCTATTCTCTGCCAGATAAGAAAGACCTTAAATCTGTATTCCCAATTTAGTTGGACTTCCCCTCTCCAAACTCTTTTTGCTATGACTAAAGATGTAGCCATTTTGGAGAGAAAACTCCTTCATCCAAGCTAAAGATTTTCCTTCATCTTTCTCAAGCAGAATGGTAAGAGGAAGTAAACAGAGACATGGTGTGAGAGAGAAAGAGCAAATGCTGACCAGCCCTTTTCTAAGTATGCCATTTCCTTTCCCCATGCCTCTCTCCTGGCACCTGCACAACCTTCCTGTCTGACCATACTTGGCTGCCCTTGGCCCCTCACCTCTCCCTTAGTTGGCCTGGCTCCTCTTTCGGGTCCTGCTTTCCACCCTGAGCCACCACTTTAACACCTGTCCAGAGCTATCAGTGATGTCTGCAAACTTCTCAGGAGATGGACAGGGTCAGGCTGGCTTGGGGAAAGGACCGGAAAGAGATCTTATCACTCAGACGCATTCTGTTGTCTTTCAGATTCTTTTCCTCTTCTTGGCTCTCCATGTTTTTGTCTCTCTTTACCTCGTGGCTTCACTAAGCTGTGAGACTTTTAAATCAGTCCACTCGAGTCAATGTGGTATGGACTCTCAGGAGTCACAGAGTACACATAGTACATCTTCCTGAATGTTAGTTTTACATTTAAGATTTGGTGGCAGAAGATAAATCATGCTTACATGAAAACCAAGACAAATATGCACTGTAGATCAAAATTTTCATTTTAAAAACACAATATAGGCCCATAAAAGAAATCCACATTTTGTGACAGGCCACTTTGGCCTGCTTTTGGAGCCCTAAGGAAAATGGTCACTCTCCTGAAATTAGAGGTCCGGCACAGCTGACCTTTAGTTCCTCTGCCTCCGCAAAAGTCAAAATACAGGAAGAGAAACTGAATCACAGTGGGCTCTCCCTTCCCTGTTTCCATCTCCTTCTGGCTTCCCAGATAGTCCTTTAGCATCTGTATCGAGGATTCCTCCCTCTACCCACAGAGTAAGCCAGGCTGTACCAGAACAGAAGCTGAGAACTGGTATGATGGTGCATGTCTGTTATCCCAGCACTCCAGAGGCTG